CGGACACACGCACATACACAGTGGCACGCAGACACACACACACAAACACACACTGATGAGGTTCGTTATCTCGTCCGTGCGCGTGTCACGCAGCTGTTAGCGTGAGCTTGTTACCATGGAGACGGTTATCACAGACCTGGTCCACGGACAGGAAGTGGTAGAAGGTCTGCGGGATCTCCTCGACCAGGTCCAGAAGCTCCAGATCCGCGTCCCAGGCCCTGAGGGGGGGCAGAACCGAGACCAGCATGGCCAGGCAGACCAGCACAGACCCGCAGGGACCCGCACAGACCCGCATCACCGACACACCGACACACCGACACCTAAAGGACTCCAACAGGCCCGGGTCCGGTCCGGTCCAGCCTTCTACTGAGCCAACTCAGCGACTACCGACCCGGAAATACTAGTTTACTTCCGGGTCACACTGTCAGAATAAAGCTCTCAGGCGGTTAAATGGAGGAGTGCAGCGACCTCTGCAGGAACCTTCTGGTACTGCAGCCCAAAGAGAACTTCTTAGTGATGTTTAAAAAAAACCAAATTATTCAGTTTTTGTTAAAAAAAAATCTTCATCCTGACAGAAACATCATCTTCATCACTTTTTTATGGTTTGATGCAAAAATGAAAACTTTTATTTTTATGAATTATTTCTGTGAAAAACACATATTTTACAACAATAATAAATCTTTTATAATAAAATAATAACGTTGTATAAAAACAGTAACATACTAACATGTTTGAAGCTGTTTTGAATTTAATTATTAGTGTTTTTAACTCAGAGAAAAAAATCTACTATTATTAACAGAAAATTAAAACACCAATAAAAGGATCAATAACTCAGAAATATCTTTATTTGTAGTCCAGTTCCTGGACTGGTCTGTCTGTCATGGTTCCGGATGCCTCAGTCCAGTCCTTGTGAGGTTCTTGAACCCACTTTGTTTGTTAGTCCTTTCCAGGAGGATCTCAGACCCGGTTCTTGGTCTTGGTCTTGGTTTTCCAGCTTATAGACTCTGGGAACAGCCCAACTTTACAGAGGGAGTCAGTGATGGTCTTCTGGACTACAGGAGACATTCAGTGTTTATATTTGAACCACAAAAATATAAGTGAGAAAAAACACCCTTCATCAAACCATGACTGCACCTGCCAACGACACCAGCACAACCAAAGAGAGAAAAGGGAATATTTTCATTTTATTTTATTTTATCTTATTTTATTTTATTTTTATTTTTATTTAAGGTTTATTTTATTTCAGGTTTTTTCATTTTTATTTTATTATATATTTTTATATATTATATATATTTTTATGATATATATATATATAAATATATATATATATATATATATATATATATATATATATATATATATTAGGTTAATTTATTTTTGTATATTATTTTAGGTTTATTTTATTTTTATTTTCATTTTTTTTATTTTATTTTGTTTTGTTATGTTTTGTTTTTATTTTATTTTAAGGTTTATTTTATTATCTTATTTCATTTTATTTTAGGTTTATTTTATTTTATATATATTTATATATTAGGTTAATTTATTTTTGTATATTATTTTAGGTTTATTCTATTTTTATTTTATTTTCATTTTATTTTGTTTTGTTTTGTTTTGTTTTTATTTTTTTTTATTTTATTTTGTTTTGTTTTTATTTTATTTTATTTTATTTTGTTTTGTTTTGTTTTTATTTTATTTTAGGTTTATTCTATTTTTATTTTATTTTATTTTATTTTGTTTTGTTTTTATTTTATTTTAGGTTTATTTTATTTTGTTTTTGATAAAGTGGATTTTTTCTGGCAGCAGCTAAATTAAAGATTTAAGGATCAAAAACTTTATTTTCTAAAGACAGTCGCACAAAAGTCTTTGTTTACATTGACCAAAACTGAACCACCTGTCAGTCACTGCTCTGATGCAGTCAGGGTAGAGAGAGGTTGCCATGGCAACCAGACAGGAGAAATGAGTGTCACCTTGATGACGGGTTAATAAAAGAAGAAGAACAAACAGTCCACGTCGTCCCTGTCCTTCATTATGTTTTTATCGGTGTTCTTGGTCTCTGTTGTCTCTGGTTACTATGGCGATTGCCCCCCCCCCTGATGTTGTTCATAGAGGGCTGCGAGTTTCTTGAACTTTGGTCCCCATGACCTTAAGAAGTCAAACTTCTGCCCGGACTCTGAAGACCTCCGAGAGTTCAGAGAACCAAAGGAACTAAAGGAACTAAAGGAACTAAAGGAACTGAGGGACTCGGCCGCCGCCGACTCGCTGCCCTCCAAGGCGAAGGTCTGCAGGGAGTCATAAGGGGGCGCTGTCAGGTCAAAGTCGGCCTCCTGCAGTCTGTTCTGGATAAAGTTCTGAAAAAGCCCGTCTCGGCCTGAACGGTCCTCAGGTGTGTGTGAGAGGAGTGGGTCTGTGACGGAGTTCTGGTGGAGGTGTCTCAGGGTGGACAGGTCGAAGGCCTCGGTGTCCTCCTCACCTCCACCTTCATCATCGTAACGAACGATGTTCTCACAGATATCCTGCTGCTCATCTGTCATCGTAGGCTCCACCCACCTGTGTCTTACAGCAGCAGCAGTTACCGTGACAACGCCTGGAAAAAAAACAAGGAGGAAAGGCTGACCAATCAGAAAATACTTGATTAATTTTTGCGTTCAGGTTACTTCGGAGGTCAGACGGCCCTGTCTGATTATTAGGCGAGCGCTAACATCACTTTCGTAGACGTAGCCATCTTATTTCACGCCTCAGATTTTGCTTTTTTCCCGACTTGGTCACTGAAACGCTCATTTTCAGCTCGGACTTCTGACCTCTGACCTCTGACTCAAACGCCGCACAGGTGTCGTGGGCGGTTCCTGGAGTTCCCAGTTTACATCCTGCTCGTGTTTCGCTGTCGTTTCTTTTTTTCAGGTGTGTTTGAGGTTCTCAGTGAAATCCAGCTCTGGACTTACCCAGCACAGTGAGGACACAGGTGAGGACTGCGGCGGCGGCGGCGGCGGCGGCGGCGGCGGCGGCGGCGGCGGCAGGTGTGTTGTGGCTGACCTCCAGCTGCGGTGACCCCTCCTGGATGCAGGACAGGTGATCTCTGAGTCTTTCACAGTCACAGACGGTGACTGACAGCGTGTTGGTGCTGCTGAGGGCGGGTTCACCGCCGTCTGAGATCACTACAGACAGGAAGTGCACCGGCTGATCTTGTCTGGAGAAACCGGCCCGCCGAGTGAGGATCGACGCCGTGTTGTCTGCGGACAGAGACGGAAATCGTGACGTCATGAACGACTCTGAGCATCAAGACGTCATGAAAGTGAAATCAGGAGAAGATGACGAAGGCGGAGCGAAACATCGACGCAGTCTGGACTTCAGACCGACTCCAGAGGTCCGGGTTCTTCAGGTGGACTGGATTCTTTTTAATGATCAGAACTGCTGGAGGTTCTGGTATCTGTAGGTGGCGCTCTTTGCTCTCTTCACCTGCAGGAGGTCTTACCTTTGTGGTCTTGGAGGGTAAAGTTCAGGTTTTCTGTGGTGTCCCCGCTCAGGGAGAACAGGAAGTGATGTCCATTAACCGGGTCATCTGGATCCACAGCGCTCAGGGTCTCAATAACCTGAGGGGTCAAAGGTCAAAAAGGACAGAAGGTCCCTGAGGACGTGTCTTCATTCTGAGTGGATTAAACTTTCACTGAGCGAGATCAACGAGACAACAGGAGGGCGTGAAGACGAGGACGGGGACAACTGTGGGACAGGAAGAAGAGGAGGACAGGGACAACTGTGGGACAGGAAGGAGAGGAGGACAGGGACAACTATGGGACAGGAAGAAGAAGAGGACAGGGACAACTGTGGGACAGGAAGAAGAGGACGGGGACAACTGTGGGACAGGAAGAAGAGGAGGACAGGGACAACTGTGGGACAGGAAGGAGAGGAGGACAGGGACAACTGTGGGACAGGAAGAAGAGGACAGGGACAACTGTGGGACAGGAAGAAGAAGAAGAGGACAGGGACAACTGTGGGACAGGAAGGAGAGGAGGACAGGGACAACTGTGGGACAGGAAGAAGAGGAGGACAGGGACAACTGTGGGACAGGAAGAAGAGGACAGGGACAACTGTGGGACAGGAAGAAGAAGAAGAGGACAACTGTGGGACAGGAAGAAGAGGAGGACAGGGACAACTGTGGGACAGGGAGAAGAAGAAGAGGACAACTGTGGGACAGGAAGAAGAAGAAGAGGACAACTGTGGGACAGGAAGGAGAGGAGGACAGGGACAACTGTGGGACAGGAAGGAGAAGAGGAGGACAGGGACAACTGTGAGACAGGAAGGAGAGGACAGGGACAACAGTGGGACAGGAAGAAGAAGAGGAGGACAGGGACAACTGTGGGACAGGAAGGAGAGGAGGACAGGGACAACTGTGGGACAGGAAGAAGAAGGAGAGGACAACTGTGGGACAGGAAGGAGAAGAAGAGGACAACTGTGGGACAGGAAGGAGAGGAGGACGGGGACAACTGTGGGACAGGAAGAAGAGGACGGGGACAACTGTGGGACAGGAAGGAGAAGAAGAGGACAACTGTGGGACAGGAAGGAGAGGACGGGGACAACTGTGGGACAGGAAGAAGAGGACGGGGACAACTGTGGGACAGGAAGGAGTGGAGGACAGGGACAACTGTGGGACAGGAAGAAGAGGACAGGGACAACTGTGGGACAGGAAGAAGAGGACGGGGACAACTGTGGGACAGGAAGAAGAGGACGGGGACAACTGTGGGACAGGAAGAAGAGGAGGACAGGGACAACTGTGGGACAGGAAGAAGAGGAGGACAGGGACAACTGTGGGAGAGGAAGGAGAGGACGGGGACAACTGTGGGACAGGAAGAAGAGGAGGACAGGGAGAACTGTGGGACAGGAAGAAGAGGACGGGGACAAATGTGGGAGAGGAAGAAGAGGAGGACAGGGACAACTGTGGGACAGGAAGAAGAGGAGGACAGGGACAACTGTGGGACAGGAAGAAGAGGAGGACAGGGACAACTGTGGGACAGGAAGAAGAGGAGGACGGGGACAACTGTGGAACAGGAAGAAGAGGAGGACAGGGACAACTGTGGGACAGGAAGAAGAGGAGGACAGGGACAACTGTGGAACAGGAAGAAGAGGAGGACAGGGACAACTGTGGGACAGGAAGAAGAGGACAGGGACAACTGTGGGACAGGAAGAAGAGGAGGACAGGGACAACTGTGGGACAGGAAGAAGAGGACAGGGACAACTGTGGGACAGGAAGAAGAGGAGGGGGACAAATGTGGGACAGGAAGGAGAGGAGGACAGGGACAACTGTGGGACAGGAAGGAGAAGAAGAGGACAACTGTGGGAGAGAAGGAAGAGGAGGACGGGGACAACAGTGGGACAGGAAGAAGAAGAGGGGGACAGGGACAACTGTGGGACAGGAAGAAGAGGAGGACAGGGACAACTGTGGGACAGGAAGAAGAGGAGGACAGGGACAACTGTGGGAGAGGAAGGAGAGGACGGGGACAACTGTGGGACAGGAAGAAGAGGAGGACAGGGAGAACTGTGGGACAGGAAGAAGAGGACGGGGACAAATGTGGGAGAGGAAGAAGAGGAGGACAGGGACAACTGTGGGACAGGAAGAAGAAGAGGGGGACAGGGACAACTGTGGGACAGGAAGAAGAGGAGGACAGGGACAAATGTGGGACAGGAAGAAGAGGACAGGGACAACTGTGGGACAGGAAGGAGAGGAGGACAGGGACAACTGTGGGACAGGAAGAAGAGGAGGACGGGGACAACTGTGGGACAGGAAGGAGAGGAGGAAGGGGACAACTGTGGGACAGGAAGGAGAGGAGGACAGGGACAACTGTGGGACAGGAAGAAGAGGAGGACAGGGACAACTGTGGGACAGGAAGAAGAGGAGGACAGGGACAACTGTGGGACAGGAAGAAGAGGACGGGGACGGAGGAGGACAGTCCGTGTTTAAACACAGTTCAGAGATTAGCGCCGCAGTGATGGAGGATTTGGACTCTGATCAGGATTTTAACGGATTAAAGACGATCAAACAGGAAATACATTTGAAGGTCAAAGGTCACAGTCACTCGTCGGCTCTGATGTGACGCCAAACAAACTAACCGGAGCGTTGACGATAACCAGAGAAGAAGAACCAATCAGAGCGTTCAAATCTGAAGATAAGGAGGTTATTGACGACTCAGAGGATGACTGTCATGATCAATATGATCATTGATTATATCTATAGTATAAATCTATATGATTATCTATAATTTCAGGATATTTGGAGTTAAAAACTCTCACCTGTCCCGGTTCGGCGTTCTCACACACAAATGTTTTGTAGTTGTCGGCGAATCTCGGAGCGTTGTCGTTGACGTCCTTCACAGAGATCAGAACCACAGCTTTCCCCACCTGAGACAAGTCCACTGAGACACAGAGACACACCTGAGAGCTGGTCTTAGACAGGAAGTCACCAAAATAAAAGCCTTTTTTCATCTGCTTTTCTTCACTTCCTCTCTGACAGACAGCAGTTAGCTTAGCGTTATGAAAGAGACCGCCATCGTTATGAACAGTAGAAAGGACACGCCCCTTTGAGCTGCGTGCCTACGTGGCAGCCATCTTAGTGGTGGCGACGTTCCCATTGAAGGTGTTCGATGTAATAAATCCGATCTACTTTAATGTTAACGTTAAAACGTGTTCGATTAATACGACATAAAAACATGACGACAATAATCCAGAACAACAAAAAAAACTCGCTGATTTCTGCTCAGACTGGCAGCTGATTGGTTGTTGGGGTTCGTCATTGTTGGGGGTTAGTTCAGTGTTTAAAGGTCTGGAGTCTTAGAGGTCTGGCTCGTGTTCTGGTTCTGGTCTGAAGGTGGGTTAGCTGGTTCTACGGTTCCGACTCACAGATCTCGGTGGCCGACACGCTGATGTTGTGTTCAGTGACGGTCTCTCGGTCCAGCGGTCGGGCTGTGAAGATCAGTCCTGAGAGACTGTCGATGCTGAAGTAACGCCCAACATCAGACTTCCTGTCGATGGAGTACCTGCAGGTCGATTGAGCGGATTCAGATCAGCTGTTCTGGACTATAACTGGTTCTGGTTCTGGGTTACAGTGTGCATATACCTGACAGGGCTGCTGATGTGGTCAGGGTCTCGAGCTGAAACTGACCCCACTTTAGATCCCACTGCTGCCGCCTCAGAGACCTCCATCCGGCTGACGGAGGAGGAGAAGACCGGCGGCTCGTTCACATTCTCCACCAGCAGACGGACTTCAGCGACGTCCCTGAAAGGCCCCATGGACAGGAAACGGGCGTCGACCACGTGGTTGGATGCCTCCACACGCAACATGTAACTGGACTTGCTCTCAAAGTCCAAAGCCTGATGGAGGAACAAACCAGTTTGATCTTAATGAAGTCATGAACCTGAACAGTCCTTCAGACCTGATCTGAAGGTTCTCAGAGGTTTCCTTCAGAACCAAAGACGGCTTCATTAGTCTCTGCATCACTGACATGAACCTGAAAACATTCAGCCTGTGGGGATCATCATCATCATCATCTTCATCATCATCATCATCATCTTCATCGGCTGTTCAGCAGCAGCAGATGATTCTCCTCTGGGTCACTAATCCAAAGATCTGCTGGAGCTCAGAGCTCTAATGCAGCGATTAAACACAGCGAGGATCAGAGCGTGTTCAGAGAGCGTGTTCAGAGAGCGTCAAAATCCCTCAAATCCGATTAACTTCAGTCTGAGAGGATCAAGAGACAGCAGAACCAGAACCAGACACAAACATTTGTCCCCAAACAGGTTCATCCAACCAGAACCGACCTGCTGCAACAAAACCGGGTCTGATACGAAGAAAACAAGAATCTGATGCTAGAAACTCCACATCAACAAAAAAAAACAGTATCTACCATTAAACCAGTATCAACACCATTAAACCAGTATCTACTACCATTAAACCAGTATCTACTACCATTAAACCAGTATCTACTACCATTAAACCAGTATCTACTACCATTAAACCAGTATCTACTACCATTAAACCAGTATCTACCATTAAACCAGTATCTACTACCATTAAACCAGTATCTATTACCATTAAACCAGTATCTACTACCATTAAACCAGTATCTACCATTAAACCAGTATCTACTACCATTAAACCAGTATCTACTACCATTAAACCAGTATCTCCCATTAAACCAGTATCTCCCATTAAACCAGTATCTACTACCATTAAACCAGTATCTACCATTAAACCAGTATCTACTACCATTAAACCAGTGTCTACTACCATTAAACCAGTATCTACCATTAAACCAGTATCTACTACCATTAAACCAGTATCTACTACCATTAAACCAGTATCTACCATTAAACCAGTATCTACTACCATTAAACCAGTATCTACTACCATTAAACCAGTATCTACTACCATTAAACCAGTATCTACTACCATTAAACCAGTATCTACCATTAAACCAGTATCTACTACCATTAAACCAGTATCTAATACCATTAAACCAGTATCTACCATTAAACCAGTATCTACTACCATTAAACCAGTATCTACCATTAAACCAGTATCTACTACCATTAAACCAGTATCTACTACCATTAAACCAGTATCTCCCATTAAACCAGTATCTCCCATTAAACCAGTATCTACTACCATTAAACCAGTATCTACCATTAAACCAGTATCTACTACCATTAAACCAGTATCTACTACCATTAAACCAGTATCTACCATTAAACCAGTATCTACTACCATTAAACCAGTATCTACTACCATTAAACCAGTATCTACCATTAAACCAGTATCTACTACCATTAAACCAGTATCTACTATTAAACCAGTATCTAATACCATTAAACCAGTATCTCCCATTAAACCAGTATCTACTACCATTAAACCAGTATCTACCATTAAACCAGTATCTACTCCCATTAAACCAGTATCTCCCATTAAACCAGTATCTACTCCCATTAAACCAGTCCCCTCCCACAGAAGAAGAACTCTTCTGAACCCTAAAGAGGACATCCCCAGTACGAGTCCGGTCTGAACTTTGCTTAGTTTGGCTCCTCATACTGGGAGGTGTCCAGTACCTTCTGCAGGGTGACCAGTCCCTCTTGGGTGTTCGGGTCACTGACTATCCGGAAAGTTCCCAGACCGTCTCCATCCAGGACTCTGTAGTCCAGCTCAGCGTTTAGACCCACATCCAGATCCAGAGCTCGGATCCTTCCGACCACCGATGAGACCGGAGCCGACTCTGGAACCCTGAACTGGTAACTCTCTAGAACAAATACACACAGACACACACACAAAGGTACACAAAACATGACCTCACATGATGTCATTTCTAAAGGTCAGAGGTCATCAGACTCACTGCGAGGGAAGCGAGGCGGGTTATCGTTGACGTCAGTCAGCATCACAGTCACAGAGGTCGTTCCTGAGAGACATCCCATCTGACCAATCATGTCTTTGGCCTGGACTACCAGCAGGTACCGGTCTCGAGTCTCCCGGTCCATGTCTGGTAGAGCGGTCAGCACCATACCTGTGGGACAGGTGAGACCCGGGTCAAAGAGACCTTCAAAAAACACGTGGTCAGGTGACATAGACAGACGTGAAGGTGTGTCCTCACCTGTGTGTGGCTCCACAGTGAAATGAGGCTGACCCTGGATCAGGCTGTAAACCAGTCTGGCAGAGTTCCCGTACGTCGGGTCGTCGTCGTCAGTCGCCACCACCGTCACCACAGACGTACCTGAACAAACGCACGCCATCCGAACTCGAGTCAGACGTCATTCAACTGACCAATCGAATGTCAGTTTCTCTGTCACCTGCTGTGCCCTCATCATTGAGCTCTGACCTTCACAATAAAAGTCTGACCTTCACAATAAAAGTCTGACCTTCAGTCTGACCTTCAGAAATAAAAGTCTTTCCACCTTTTCTTCATACATTAACGCTCCCCTGCCTTCCTTCCCTCCCTCCCTCCTCCCTCCCTCCCTCCCTCTCTCCTCCCTTCCCTTCCTTCCCTCCCTCCCTCCCTCCTCCCTTCCTTCCCTCCCTCCTTCTATTATAGACATAGAGCGGAAAGATTCCAGATGTTGTGGATATCTTCGCTCTCCTGTTTCCTTCCCTCCCTCCTCCCTTCCTACCCTCCCTCTCTCCTCCCTTCCTCCCTCCCTCCCCCCCTCCTTGGATTATAGACATAGAGCGGATAGATTCCAGATGTTGTGGATATCTTCGCTCTCCCGTTTCCTTCGCTCTCGCTCCGAACGTCCTTCTCTTTATTTCACTGTTGTTTCTTTTTCGTTTCTCCGTCTTTCACAGACTTTGACGGTAAAGATGGTCGCGGTCTCGCCGTTGATCGTCTTCTGTTCAGTTTCTGATGTTGACACTAACCCGTTAAGACTCTGTCAGTTTTGTGTATTGTTGCTTGAGTTGTTGGTGTTACACAGACTGCACTGACCTGAACGTTGGGTCCACAGGTGTCAGACTCACCTACAGGAGACCGCTCAGGTACCCTGGCTGTGTACGGCCCATCCAGGAACTTGGGCTCGTTGTCGTTGATGTCTTGAACTTTGATGATGAACTGAGACTCGGGTTCAATCAGCTGGTCCGTCCTGCGGTCCCTGGCATGAGCTCTCAGAGTGAAAAACGCCTGCTGTTCCCGATCCAGCCTCTTGGTGGCGTGAATGTCTCCAGTGTCCTCGTCTATAGTGAAGATGGACATCGCTCCCTCTCCAGTAAGGACATACCTGACCTGTCTGTCACCTTTATCGACGTCGGAGTGAAGCTGCAGAAACAAAATTCAGTCGTTTAGATCGGAAAATAATTTAAAACCAGGACTAGAGCGGGACTCATTTTAGAGCTCAGACTATTTCATTCTACCACCGAACCCTGAGCAGAGAAATAACGACCACCACAATGATGATATTAATAATACAAATAATATTAATATTAATATTAATAATAATAATATCAAATATTATAATGATAATGATAATATTAATAATACAAACAATATTAATATTAATAATAATAATAAAAATAATAATAATATCAAAAATCATAATAATAATGATAATATTAATAATACAAATAATATTATATTAAATATTAATAATAATAAAAATAATAATAATATCAAAAATAATAAAAATAATGATAATATTAATAATACAAATAATATTAATATTAATAATAATAATAATATCAAATATTATAATGATAATATTAATAATACAAATGATATTAATATTAATAATAATAATAATAATAATAATAATGATAACAATAATATTAATAATAATAATAAAAATAATAATAATGAAAATGATAACAATAATATTAATAATAATAATAAAAATAATATTAATCATATCAAAAATTATATTATTAATAATAATAATAATAATAATAATAATAATGATAATATTAATAATACAAATAATATTAATATTAATAATAATAATAATAATAATAATAATATCAAATTTTATAATGATAATGATAATATTAATAATGCAAATAATATTAATATTAATAATAATAATAAAAATAATAATAATTTCAAATATTATAATGATAATGATAATATTAATAATACAAATAATATTAATATTAATAATAATATTAAAAATTATATTAATAATAATAATACTAATAATGATAATATTGATAATACAAATAATATTAATATTAATAATAATAATAGAAATAATAATAATAACATTGTGATATTACTTTGTTATATGAAATCAATATGTTTTGTAAAATGCTCTATAGTCTTTAAATTTGTTCAAATGAATCGATGGCGAACTCTTAAAGGTGTTTTGTTATTATAAATGAGGAAAGTTGTTTGAGTGGAAAAGTTAAAAAATACAACAAAATAAAGTCGATCAGACTTTGAACTTGTGATCCGAACAGAAATCTCTTTTTCCATCTCTGTGTCTTTGAATCTTTAGTACCAAATAAAGAGGAAAACGACACGTATGTTTATATCAGGGATGAAAGTTCCAGTTTAAACCAGAAGGGGGCAGAGTTTCATTGGCAGCACAATCCTCAACGACCAGAAGACCCAAACCCCCGTCCAGTTTTCTCTCTGTGCACCAAAGACAAAAACCGAGGACGCTCTCCCCGTATTTTATTTTGAAATTCGCTTGATTGAACGGATCAGAGACCCCCCCCCCATCAGAGTTCGGACCTTCCCCACGTAGACGGGCTCGTCTCCGGTGTACTCTTCCAGGACAAAGAACTGGTTCCAGACCCAGCTCCTCTTCCTCCTCTGGTGGGACTCCACTCTTCCTCCTCTTTGTCCCACTTGACCTTCACCTGGTTTCTGACGCAGGTTGACTGAGTTCAAGGTCATCGCCTCACAGCCTGACTCCTCCCACAACAGCAGCGTGAAGACAATGAGCGCGCTCAGAAAACACCAACAGCTCATTTCTGAGGAGACAAACTCTGACGAGACAATGTCCAAAAACCCAACAGAGATGTCCTCTTCAGAGACACCAGT